TTATTTTTATAGGATATCAGTGATGAGATGCAGTTGTTTAAATATGATCGACGTGCTGCAGTAAATTCCTTGGAATCAAGAGGGAATGTAAAGAGAGTGATGACGTATGGAGGCAGACAATCTATCCTGAGGTAATGCTGGTTAAACTCAGTCTCAGGCTCTCTTGCCTGGGAAAGAGAGAGTCTGGTAAGGAAAGAGAGGAGGAGAAAGAGCCTTTTTAACTCGAAGATTGCAAAGCAATCAAAGAGTTATAGGAGGGAGATGAGGGAGATGATGTGTGTGAGGGACTAGTTAATTAGTCACTAATTTTTTTCTGTAAACATGCGGGCATTTAGAAATCCATAACCAAGATGGCGGTCGAGTCGGTGTTTTGATACAGAAATGTGATTTTTGAGGTCTGGAAGTTCTTGTATTAAGGCTGATTTACACGGTACGATTTGTCGCGCGCAACTTGTAGTATACGATTTTCCTACTACAAGTCGTAGGATTTTAAGCAGTGGTTCAAAACCCTACTACAAGTCGTAGCGCGACAAATCGTACCGTGTAAATCAGCCTTAAGAATCTGTTGATTTCAGAAGTCGTTTTAGGAGATATTGTGTGAATATGGCTCATTAATACAGCATTGCTAACAATGATTTCAAGGATTATTCTGATCCACGTCGATTAGTGATTTAATGCTCATCGATTCATATAAACTTTATCCTTCGTAAGAGGCTTTATTACAGACTTATGACCAGATTTATTGTCTGACAATCTTCGAGTTGTGTCGCCATTGGCGGCTTGATTCCTATCCTCTCTCCCTCTCTCTCTCTCTCTCTCTCTCCAAACTTAACTAATAATGATCATAAGTGCCAGTTCAATCTCTTTACTCTGACAAAGGATTGACGTCTGTAACGTCAGTAAGTTATTTCACATACTTTTTTTATGGTGTTAAATTTAAACTGCCTAATACCAAAGGTGAAACTGTGTAGTGCATTTAAGTGTGAACCATTATCGAAAAGTCCATAATAAATCCATAATGAAGCCTGGTTTCCATATAATCATTACAATCGCTAGGATCTCCACGATCGCCACGATCACCAAAGGTATGCGGTTCAACGGTCATAGCGATCATATGAAAACACTGTCAAGTGATTTTGGTGATCATAGCAATCTTAATCACCGAGATAGAATCTTAGTGATTCCAGCTCGATCGAGATTGCTAGGATCACCAGGATTGCTGAAGAGTGTTTCCATATGGTCCTACAACCATTGAGCCACATTTTTGGCGATCGTGGTGATCCTAGCTACATTGTACTGTAAGAATTATATGGAAACCAGGCTTAATAAGGAAGAACTTAATGTATGTATGTATTACTAGGTATGTATCACTGCCACAYCTTGATGATAATTTCCATACCAAGAAAATAATTGAAGAACAGAAAAAACTAGAGGCTATTCAAGATGAAGTTAGT